CCCTCCCTCCCTCTAGTCTCTCTCCCTACTCCCATCCCGCCTCTTTCACTTAAAAATAAAACGCCGTAGTTTCATTCCTGAAACAACAACTCTTCATCTCCCTCACAACTAAAACAACAGATTAAAACAAACAGGGACCAGCAAGGATGCATGTCTTGCAGTGAGCCTTGCGCGATGAACTTCCAGTAGGACGAAACTCTCCTTTCAAATACGTTGTTATTGCTGTTAACGACGCGAAACTGATGATATGTTCTCAGTTTGTCTCGCTGCCAGATCAGATCTTGGTTTATTTTGAGGGGTATGCTTTAAGTTTGTTTTTTCCCGTATTTTTATCTGGTGCTTCAGATCTTCGGCAATGGGTGGTTGGCGGGCGCTCTGGTGTGGTTTGCTACTTCTTGCCTGCCAAACATCTGTCGTCCTTATCTCTCTTCCTTTTTATGTGTTTGTTTCTCTCCTGTAACACATCCAATCTTCTACAGTTATATGAACTGATTGTGTTGGAACTGTCGTAAAACTTACTAAAACAAACAAATCATGCTTTTTGGCAAATCAGTTCGCCCTGAAGACAAAGTGCGCGTACACTTTCGCAATTGAGGCCATTTCAGGGTTTCCCAGTTTGGTAGCAATATTTCGTTTTTTTCCCCCCCCCACACATTGTTTTTACTTTGTCCTCAGTAGTTTAAAAAATATTTTTGGAATGGGGTTCTTATTTGTTCCGGATTTTCCGTTCTCTCTTTCTTTTGCTGTTCTTTTCCTCTTTCATCAATCTGTCTTTATGAGGCGAGCTCGTTCGTATAGAGACGCCTTTTTTCTCTCTATGGAATTGAAGTGGATCTAAAGTTTATTTTAGGTCTTCGTATGTTTTTATATGCTTTTATTCCAAGAATGAGGGCAGCTAAAGCAAGAAATTTTCAGTTTTCTTTGTTCCGAAATTTTCATAATTAAAAAAAAAAATTGGCAATTGACAAAGCTGACATGTCTCGTTTGTTCTCTCTTTTTTTTTTGGTTCTCATTTTTTGGGGTTCTCATTTCAGTTCAACTTTGTTGGTCGAATATTGGGTCCCCGTGGAATGACAGCCAAAGAGTTGGAACAGTTTACAGGATGCAAGATCATGGTCCGAGGAAAGGGATCTATGAGAGACAAATCCAAGGTGAGCCACATCTCATTTTTAAGACTACATGTGACGTTGTCTGTTTTCGTCTTTGTGATGCTTCTCTGTCTGTTTGTCTGCCTGTCTGTCTATTTGTCTTTTTCTCTCTTTCTGTGATTTTTTTCTCTTTCTCCCCCCCGCCCCCAACACACACACACA